TGATCTCGGTGATTATGGACCATCTGAAGGATGCGCGAGGTGGCTTCATATCCGTCCATTTCTGGCATCCAGAGGTCCATTAGAACCACATCAATGGCTTTCATCTTTGTCGCCTCGCACGGCTCATTGATTACGCCTTGCATGCTTTGCGCGTTGTTGGGATCGGCTTCGGGTTCCTTGGATGGTTTTGCTGCAGACAGAATACCGTGCACGATTTGAACCGCTTCTTTGCCGTCGGCTGCTTCGAGGACATCGCGGTAGCCAAGTTTGCGGAGCATGTTCACAAGGACGCGTCGGTTGATTCGGTTATCTTCCGCAACAAGGAAGCGTAGTGGATACTTTTCTGCGAGCTTCTTGTCGTATACATCGCCAGAGGAGATGTTTGTTCGATGTAGACGGGGTTGTGATACTCGGCGCGGGGGCGTTGAGCTTTGAGACATGTTCTCGTCTGAGGTACTCGGAGTTGGTTGTTGCAACTGGCTATTTTGGGGGAGGATGAAAGGGGATACGGAAGAAGAAGGCTCGGAGATGAAGCTGCTAGCACTGCCCTGTCGTGCTTGGTCGTTGATTGTGGGTGGTGTCAGAGTCCGTTCGTTGGGAGTTGCAGGTCGGCCATCAGCCTCGCCTTGATTCACAGGGATACGAATTTGGAATTCCGAGCCACGCTCTGGCCCTGATGTTGACGAGCGTTCACAGGTCAAGTCACCGCCCATCTTACGTGAGAGTCCCTTGGCCACAAGGAGACCAAGACCCAGACCATCTTTGCTCCTAGTGGTCGATGCGTCCTCGCGAGCAAACGCTTTGAAGAGGTTCGGTAGGAATGCAGCTGGAATTCCGGGACCAGTATCTCGGACAAGAATGAGGACGTCGTTTCTCTTGGGGTCGATAGTGGCGCACACAGTGATGGTGCCGTTGTTGGTGAATTTGATTGCGTTGAGGAAGACACATGAAATCAGTTTGGCCAGGTCACGGTCATCGGCGAGAAGGGTATCGGGCAGTGCTGGATCCACGGACCAGTCCACAACCTGGGTGAACATTTCGCCGTTCGATGACCGGGACCGAATCTCAATCCTCTCGCCAAAATCGGTTGTATTGCTAACGGCAGAATCAGGTCGGCCCCCGACGTGAAGAGACTCGTTAATCACTAAACGAAGAAGATCCCGCAACTTGGTAAAGCGCAAAGCAGAGCCCCTTGAGTTCACGTTGATGCCCTCCAAGAGTAAGTGAGGTGCGGATCGTCGAACGGCGAGAGACGGGCGTGGATCGACCATGTTAGCCATGACAGCTTCGATCTGGCGAGCTGGGGTTGCATGGACGATCTGGTCACTCTCGTGGACAGCATTCTTAACTTCTTCACTGCGAGGCGAAAGCTCTTGTCGAGATGATGCCGCGCGAAGCCTCTGCTTCCGTGCCGGCCTTGGATTCATTTCGGGTGGTAGACTGCGTCGTCGTTTGTAGGGATTGACCGCGATGTTGTTTCCTTCAATGAAAATACTCGGGCGAGTTTCGGGGATTTCGGGTATGTAAGGAATTGCGGGTTGGCCTAGGATTTCATTTTCCTCTCGCTGCGGTGTTTTAGGGACCTGCATATTGAGATCGTACGCGTGAACGACGTTGTCAGCTGCCTCAACAGCCCGTCTCGCGCTATCTTGCACCATCTCAATCCCCTCTTTAAGAGCCTGGAATATTGCACCAGATTTAACGGGAGTCTTGCTCTCCATCGCCTCGCGTACCGTGGCATGCATAACATCGAGCATGCCTACCACACCCTGCATTGGGGTCCGTAATTCATGTGACAAACTTCGTGCGTACGGTTTGAGGGGTTGGGAGTTGAAATGGGAGTGTTCGTGAATGCCGGTATCGTGGGGGTGGGGAATCGAGGTACTCGTAGCGGAAGTATGCGAGGTCTGGCCGTTTGCTAATACCTCGCCAGAAAGGAGTCGTTGCACAATGAGGTCTTCGAGCGAGTGAAGAATCATCTCCAGAAAAGACCAGGATAGATTTCGATTCCGAAGACCATCTTTCGACCACATCAACCCGAGGTGCGCCAGGCACTTTCCAGCTGAAAATAGTGGAATCGCCAAATAGCCATCGGCGCTAAATGGGAGTTGATCGTCGCCGAAGGATACCAACGAGCTGAGGTTTTCCGGAATCAAACAAGGACGTTCGTGGTCCATGTGCAACAAGGGGTTTCCGCCTGCGAAATACCTGTTTCGCTGCAAACCAACTGTCTGATAGCCATCGTTGTAGTAGAAAGCCGCGCCAAACAGCGACGGGCGCCGCCCGCATAGTTCTGGCATGGGCTCACCTCCGTGCACCCTCCGGGCCACGAATCCATACTGGGCTTTTGTGATCGAGGTGATATCTTCCATGAGCCGTTTCCAGAACAGCTCGGTGTCGGACGTCCTCAACCCCTGTTTGAGCGTGACCAGATGCTCAATAGCAGTGGTCTGGGCACCGTCGTTCCATGTTCCCGAGTCGAGTTGCACGTCGTCGTCACGTACGTTCAGATCAGGGATGCACTCGGATTTGCAGGAGGGGAAGGGCATGGTGGGACGCTGCACAGGATTGGAGGCATCCGGCTCGGGCGTGTCGGGCATAGTCCATGTGGTAAGGGGAATTCAGGGATCTTTGTCCTTTCTTTGTTGTTTTAGCTGAGGACAACAACCATGGCTGGATGAATCAGAAGAACATCCACCATATATCTCAAGAAGTGTCCGGAGTGAAGGAGGGGAGAGGGGATTTTCCGTTAGTTCGATGGGGGCGGTCTAGACACGGGCGGGGCCTAAAACAGCGATTTCTTTAGAACTTCATGTACTTGAACATAGGCTATTAACTGGCTTATTGCTTCTAGAAGGCTTGTGGTGCTCATTTTGGCCTCCTTTTTTACGTGTTTGTGTATGTTTTTCTCGTTCCTTGCGGTGGTGCATGGAGGTCGCCTTAATGGGATCGGCGATCTAGACCAAAACAGGTCCGCCAGGTACTGGTACTTGGTTTGCTGGGTGTTACCCTGGATATGCTAGGTACTCAGTACATGACAGGGGTGCTCGACAACGCCTCTCGAGGATCATTTGACATTTGAGATCTTCAACGTCATTTAATTCGGAGTTTTTCCTTTTTCTCTTCGCAATCGAAATATATACTTATTCCAATCCCGGTCTACAATTTCTGGGGATAGAGTTAGGGCAACGTCTCAAAATTGCGCGTAGATACTTGGCGTGACCCGATTAGGATACATCTACGATATCGTGCCAGAATGTCTGCATTTAAGTATAGTAGAACGGCTAATATCTATAGTCGTTAAGAGTAAAATTAAAAAGAAAGTTATAGTTTATATCTCTACCACCTATACACAATATTTTGTGTGATGCAAGCCAGTATCGTGAAACCGAGGTAATATCCAAACAGATCGATTGATCATCGCTGCAGGCAACAAACTTTTGTACGACGTGACACAATATATGTGGAGCAATTATATGAAAACCAATCTTGAATATCTCTTCCAACTTCAACTTCATTTTTAACACTATGCCTTCCGTGACTCCATACACGATCGCCGTCCCAAACGAGCAACTCCAGCAGCTCAACCGGAAGCTGGAGAACGCAACCTTCCCCGATGAGCTCGATGCCTCGGGCTGGGATATGGGTGTTCCACTCGATGAAATCAAGAGACTTGTCACTGTTTGGCGTGACAGCTTTGACTGGCGTGCGCAAGAACACAGATTGAACGAGCAATTCAAGCATGTCAGTATTAAAGTGGGTGTAGATGGGTTCGGTGAGCTGGATATACATGCCGTGCATCACCGCAGCGAGAACCCCAAAGCCATTCCACTGCTGTTTATCCATGGATGTATGAGTCTTATGACCTTTTCAACACCTCAGCATCGCGTTACTAATTTATTCCTCTCATAATAGGGCCGGGCAGTTTCCTTGAGGCTACCAAGCTGATCCCACTGCTCGCGAAGGACGAGGAGGATGGCCCACTATTCGACATTGTGGTACCCTCGTTGCCCAATTTTGGATTCTCACAGGGTGTCAACAGGGTACATTACATGTTGTAAATTTGTTTTCGTACCATAATACTGACCATCCGTCCAGAGAGGTTTCGGACTAGCCCAGTACGCCGAAACCCTCCACAAAGTTATGACAACCCTAGGCTACGAAGAATACGGCAAGCCCTAATCCCCATCCCCCAGAATATTTCACCCTCAACTAATCTCAACCCAGCAATCCAAGGCGGCGACTGGGGCAGCATGATCGCACGCAGCATATCACAATACTACCCAGAACACACGCAAGCCATCCACCTAAACTTCGTGCCCGTCATCCCGCCCTACCCATGGCGAAGCCCCTACCAATTCATAAAGTCTCTCCTATCAGTGCCCTTCTCAGCGAAAGACCGCGGCTTCATCGCCCGGTCATTGGGTTATTTCACCCGCGGCAATGCATATATGAAAGTACAAGAGACTCGGCCCCAGACACTGGGTTATGGGCTTCATGATAGTCCTGTTGGATTGCTCGCTTGGATCTATGATAAGATGCATTCTTGGTCGGATGAGTATCCCTGGACTGATGAGGAAATTTTGACTTGGGTGAGTGTTTATTACTTTTCTACGGCTGGGCCGATGGCGTCGACGAGGATTTATTATGAGGCTTCGGCACCGAAGCGGTATGATGGTGAAGGTGACAGTGAAGGTGAGAAGCTGCAAAAGGCGGATTCGAGGTATATTTCGCTTCAGCAGGTTCTTGGAGCGAGGGCTCCGCAGAATGTGCGCTTTGCTGTGGCGCAGTTCGCGGAGGAACTTGTTATGTTTCCTATGGCTTGGTATCGGTCTATTGGGAATGTGGTTAGGGAAACGGAGTATGATCATGGTGGTCATTTTGCGGCTTGGGAGGTGCCGGAGTCGCTGGCGGCTGATTTGAAGGCGTTCCTGGGTAAAGATGGACCGGCCTACGGGGCTGTAGCTGACAGGGATGGATATTGATGGCGGCAAGTCTGACTGATATCATGTTAAAATATCCAAACGATAACGCAGAATGGGACACTATCGTGACGTGACAACGGGGTTTTGAATTATCATGATAGGAGTATGAGAAACATGGAGTCGAAGAACATATGCGCCCTTCGGCTCAGATATCGACCGCTCTCACGTCGCTGTTGTGCTATCCCGTTCTTGATGACCGTACACGGCACATATCATCCAGTGAAGACCGCAGACGCCGGGATTTGCCCTCGAACCAACGGAAAGCCCAAAAAAACCACTTCCCCAAATCTAATCCTGTCGTCCCTTCAATAACCGCTGGGTAACCTTGTCCTTCTCTATGATATAAACCTGAGCACCCCAACCGGAGAGAGCGTCTCGGTCGACGGCACTAAGCAGCGCTTGTGAGATTGTCTCGAAGAGGTCCTCGGGGGCCTAGAGTAATGGAGATCATATTAGCACCGGGCGATCGAACGCAAACAGCGACAGTACGCACCAGATTGGGCTCCCAAAGACCCTCGCAAGTACCGAACAGCTGATCGCTCGCCGTTCCGCTGACAATGAAGTCCTTGGCGAAATCGATACAGCCAATGCTGTCAAATCCACAGATGAATGGCTTCCCCGTTGTAGGGTTGATACCAGCCAGAACAGGGCTGACGAAGAAAGGACCGAAACGCTTCTCATAAAGCGATGAGCTCACTAGGTTGGCCAGGGTCTGCGGTGCGATATCGCGCTCCTCGCGCAGGCGGTACATGTTGACCTTGTAGCGGAAAAGATCGGAGACTGTGTTGACATCGGTGGCCAGGCCAGTCAGGCCAAGGTAGGTGGACGGGGCGTAGTTGAAGATCTTGGGGAAGTTATTGGAGATAGTCAGGGATTGCATGCCCAGACGGAGGTCGCAGGCAATGGCGACGCAGTCCTTGCCCACCATGGCGACACAGGCACCGCCATCTGAAAAACGGTTAGTGTCTTATCGACTTTTCACGGGATTCGAGGTTCCGACATACTGATGTCGAAGGGGTTGGACTGTGATGAGAGAAGTCGGTCAGCTGGAGTCCAAAGTTCAATGGGAGAAAGGGCGCCTATTACTCACCATTATTGCGGTATATCAAAGCAATCCAGAGAGACAGAGAGGCTCCAGAGCTAACTGACAGGATAAAGAGCAGAAAACGGGGTTGAGAAGGGGGCGAGATGGGGGAAGTGATGGGGGAGTTGATGACGGGGAAGCTCTGAGGTACGCGAGAGCTCGGATGACGCCCGCACCGCTGCCTGTTTCGTATGTGACCTTCGACTACTTTCTTCGCCCTCTTTCTCCCCGCATTTCGCTTTCTCACTCACTTTGTTTACTCTCAGGGTCCATCTATTCCTCATACCGCATCTGCCTCTTTATCTCCAACATATTTGGTATCTTCCATACACCGTCACGATGAGCGCCCACGTCGTGGTGATCGACGCGACGGCCAGGCGGGCAACGATTAAGACGACCCCTACCAAACCTATGACCGATGTTCTGCAAGAAGCTTGCTCGAAGCTTGGATACAATGCTAGCCAATACGGATTGAAGTGAGTATATGCTCATTACGTTCAAAAAGCGAGAGGCATTAACATAGTTCTGCGTCGCATCAGGCACAATCGCAAACAACTAGACCTTTCTCTCTCCTTCCGTCTTACTGGCCTCAGCTCTGGGGCGAAGCTTGAGCTTGTGCAGTTCTCTCGCTCTCCTTCCGTTGTTACTGTCGGCCTCCAACTCCCCGAATCCGAAGCTCGAGGTGCCCCAAATGGCCGTATACTTGACAAGTTCCCAAGCACGACCACACTTTGGCTAGTATTGCGCAAGTTTGAGGCTGGTGTTGCAGGAAGTGGCCCGGTACGGAATCTCACTTCTCGTGCAGTGCCCGCTACCGATGGCGGCGATGGTGCGGGACGTCTATACTATGAGATGCCCGTGCTTCAGATCTTGGAACGTGAAGTATCGACCTTTACAGATCTCCAGAAAACCCTGGCCCAGCTCGGATTCAACAGTGGAAATGTGCTCATGCGACTCAGCTTCCGGCGAACAGAAGAGCCGATTGAAGAAGCGATGGTGCAGATCGGCGAGTTCTTCAAATCATCAGAGGATGAGGCTCCTTCATCAGAGGATAAAGCGGTGGCCCCCGCAGCGGCTTCCATGGGAAGTATAAGCGAAGAACCTGCCCAGCAGCCATCCAGCTCATTGCAGTCTGAGACCTCCAGCACACCCACTCCATCCAGACCGGATGCCAACCCTACAGCTACCTCCGAAGTAGCTACCTCGACGACCGACTCATCTGGCCGAGCTATCACCGTCTTCTCTCCCCCTCAGACAACACACCTTCATCGGCACAAATAGCGTACAACGAGAATGATTACATACCCTCTATCGAGCACGCAAAACTGCACCAGCGACTACTCAACCAGTCTTCTCGCAACCAACGCTTACCAACGGACGCCGAGATTGCGGCCAAAGCAGAAGCAGAAGAGGCGAGGCGAGCAGCAATCCGCGAGGTGGACGTGAAGGTCCGCTTCCCTGACCAGAGCCAAGTAGTCGCTAAGTTCGGACCGGAGGACACAGGATACTCGCTGTATGAATTTGTCCGCGGGTGTCTTGCTCCACCATTCGCCGGCGAGAAGTTCCACCTCACAGTCCACGCCATCTCTCGATCTCACAATGCAACCACTATCCCCGACTCAGATAAAACACAATTAATCAAGGGCCTCGGACTGGCTGGCCGTGTATTGGTCAACTTCTCCTGGGCTGATAGTGTTGCTCAATCTGTCCACGAGCGCCGTGCAGAGGTCCTCCGTCCTGAGCTCCGAAGCCAAGCTCAGCAGCTTAAGGTGGAGCAACCGCCGGAGCCCAAGGAAGAAGAGGAGCCATCAGCTCCCTCGAAAGCTGGTCCGAGTTCTACGGGTGATAAGCCCAGCGGGCCACGAAAGAGTGGTGCTATGCCCAAGTGGTTGAAGCTACCAGGGAAGAAATAAAGGGCGTAATGGATCGCAGTTGCTTCATAGAAGCGAGATGTGCTACTCTTGGTTGATGATGGTGACTGGTATACGTAGCGCGTCGTTTCGGGGGATATCAGACTAGCAAATAGACTCGAACGCACCCTTCGAACAAACAGTAAACAAGTGACTACAGCAATGAGATGTGGAAAAGTACCAGATAGTCCATCAAGTTTCTAACATCACCCATTCGTCAATCCTACCTGTCAATTCTTCTACGTCGTATCCTCTCAAAAGATCAAAAAGTATGGTATCATAAAATGTTTGAAAATTTGTTTTCATTATGGTTTCACTTCCATACAACTAAGAAGGAATACCATGTTTGCCACCCCTTTCATGCACAACCAATAGTCAAAACCCCATCATTTCGATCCGCGAGCCGCTTTTTTTGCGTCGAGTCGTTATAACGAAAGAAAAACAGAAACGGGTCGAGCGATTTAGTGAGCAGCCTGGGCGCGGCGAGACTCAGCAATGACCTTCTGCATAGCCTCAACCTTAGCCTTGCCACGGCCGAAAGTACCGAGCTGGGAAAAATTAATGTTAGCGTGATGTTTCGTAGATATCGTGGCAACTTGTCTAGACTCAATTCGGGTGTTCGGATGGTCTTGTAAGCAGTTTCGGCAATCGAGACAGAATGACAATAGCATGGAGCGTTCATGGAGCGTCCAAATGCGATGGGCGTTTCCGTTCGCAGGATTGGCTCGCACGATCCAAGCTGTACCATTCTGGCCCAATGACCTCGACTTCAAACAAAACAAAACGACCTCCACCACAAATGTGAAACCAGCGTAGACAAAATCTGCGTAGGGATTTGAAGACATACGCGCTTCTTAGCGAGCTTGCGGGCACGCTTGTCCTGGGCGTTGCGCAGGAGTTCGATGATGCGGCGCTCGTAGGGAGCGAGGCCGACAACCTCCTGGGCGATCTCGCGGACGAAAGCGGTGCGGCGGGAAGACTTGCCAACGGAGCGGCTGATGCGGGTCTTGGGGGTGTTCAGGGCGGTGGTTTTCTATTGACCATGGAAGTCAGTATTATTGTTTCATGAAGGATGCATTGCAGCAGCTACAGGTCCAAATCTCTGTTCGTGTTTCGCGTCTGTCGGTCTTCAGTGCGTCATCGAGAGTCAGGCTTGGTTTGCGTTGAGGTCGTGTGATTGTTGTGTCGGATTCGAGTCCCAGAAAATTTCCGTCACATCTTCAATTTTTCTCCAGCGAGTCTGGCTTACTTTTGATCCATTATTTGTTCACAGTCGTTCCTTGCGTGGTGATTCCCAGTGCTTTCGTGATATACCCTAACCCGACTGGCTTCGAAGACTGACAGACCGAACGAGAAGAGATTTGGAGACCTTCAAATGGCCCGGTAATATGGGAGAAAGAGATAGGATTAACGTACCCGACCGCTGTTGAGGCCGACCACAATTCCGGAGCGTTCTTGCACCATCTCGACGGTTGTTGACTGAAGGGTTTGGCGGGGGTTGTCGAAGAGGATGTGAGGAAGCCGTGTGAAAATCACCTGGTCTTTTGCCTGGAACCGCAAAATGGGGTCTTGGCGCTGGTTGGTGCGGTAGGCGAGTGCTTAGGGCTAGGGCTGTGGACTAATTTGGACTAGCGTAGAATTGACCCCTAAGGCAGGAATTGTTGCGTATCTTGGTTCTATCACGTGATTCATCTTGCCCTTCTTATTGATTTGTGAGACTGTTGTCTACAGATAGGCATTTGGTTGAAACTTGACGTCTGGTCATTCATTTGAATGTACTCTAACTATGTTCGTCATGGACTCATAAGTCACATTTTACATCGCTTGATATGTAGTATCAAATCTTGGCCGCCATCACTCCATCAAGTGCCTCTTCCCAGCTCTCCCTCAACTCTCCACAGAACACCTCTACTGCGGATGCGTCCATCATTCTGTTGAGAACATCCTGAAGGGGCTTCTCATATTTATCATCTGCATCACCCTGCATAACAAGGTCGATGACTGTGCTGAGGTTGGCTGATTCGGAAAGGCCCCGTTTCAGAGCCCGGGTGTTTGAACGGACATCCTCGAAAACACCGCAAACAAGAGCACTCACCCGCTTTAAGTGGTCATCTGGAAGCTTGGTGGTTTTCACAGCCTTCCGGGAATCCAGGGTAATGATGTTTGACAAAGCTTTGAGGCTCTCCACAAGAGACCAGATGGCATGGAAGTATCTCCAAGTTGGGGCAGCAGGAGTTCCGTCAAACTCAACAGTCGTGTTCTCGATAAGAGGAGACTTCTTGTCGTCTTGGAGAACCAGACCCTGTTTCTTATCATTCAACCAGACCTCTACCTGACCAAGAGTCTTCGCAATTTGGTCCGAAGTATGAGTCTTAGATCCGGCCATGAAATTAGCCACCTTGAGCAATTCAAGGTTGATTTTGCTTGCATCCACTTCGGTGGGCGTTAGATCACTCTCGGTCTCAGAAAGCGTCAAGTCGCTAATATCAAGCAACTCTTCTTTAATGGGGTTCGGTTTTTGCATAGCGATACCCTTGAGAACACTGAATAGTTGATCAGTGACTCGGGCGGAGGCCAGCCAGTTTACCTACATTGGCATTAGTTGTTATCACTACCTAAGTAGTCAGATAAACTTACCTTAGGAACCGGGCCTGCGCGCAGTCGCGTCTCGAATGTTGGCTGGCTATGGTGTTCCAAGTTCATATACGCATCGTACGACCGCTGGTCATAAGCCGGCGAAGTAGACTGGGCTGTAAGGTAATTAGTGACCAGTTGCTTATACGGCCAGCGAGTTGATGATAACTTACCAGTTTCCTCATGGAAGCTCAAGTGCTCCCCCTTTCTTAGTCTTTGCACCCGTCGAGTCTCCAGCGCCAAAATTCTCCGGCAAATACTGTCATTGAGGCGGTTCCGCAGCTCAATTGTTTCCTCTAGGTTTGCATAGGAACCTTCGCGAAGTCCATTCATTAGGGATCTCGATACGGTGAGGTTTGCAGAGCGGTAAAAGTCCAGACCCTGAACAAAGGCAGCCTGTGGATCAAAGTCCTTATACTCTGCGCCTTCAAAGGGAGGCGCAGAGTAAGGGTGGATTGTGGCAAAACGGGTGAAGAGGTTATGGCCAACAGTTTCATACTGCACGTGCTTGAGCGATAGCTTACTGAACGCTTTCAAAGCGAGCGAACCAGCGCCGAGAAGGGTGTAAATCCGGATCAAAATCAAAATCGCCTCATAGTTGTGAGGCGAATCAACGAGCAGACGCTCTAGAATGCCAGCAGCACGAATCAAAGATTTGTCGCTGACTTGGTCAGATGTCTTATTGGGCCGAAGAAGAGCCATGGCGGCAATAAGGCAGAAGTCATCTGTGGGCCGACTTTCCATTACGGAAGCTTCTTGGTTGTCCCTTTTGTTCTGGGTCTTTGCAAGAAGAGTAAAGTTCTCATAAAAGTCAAGACAATTGCGGACAAGATTCTCAATAGTGGACTTTGACGGGTCTCTGCCAGACAGTCGTGCATAATACTGCATCTTGTATGCATTGATCAACGGAATAGCATCATCCTTCAGAAATGGTTAGCTCGTACATATAGAGAACAAAAAATCGTTCACTTACAGCTTTGCCTTCAACGCTGTCCATGCAATATTCACACACTTGGTGGACCAAGCTATCATCGCGAGTCTCCAGAATACCTCGGAAGTCGCCGAAGAGATAAAGTTTGTGCTTGTGCTGGTCCCAGTATTTTTGACAAGCAGAAACCAGATCATCCGATGTGTTCTGGCCCCGTCTGATGCCGACCAGGGTCAAATCCAATCTAGCGAGATGTGCGTTGCGAGACTTGGGGCTGAATTCAATGAATTTTTCGATAATCTCCTGTGTTTCGGCGAGCAGTCTATAGGAATCTTGTAAGTCCGGTTACTTTTAAAGATATTGAAAAACTTACCCTGGGGTTTCTTCCAAATTACGAGTGCTTGCAATGAGCATATTCCAGAACTTCCATTCGTCACGCTCCTTGAGGGCTTTGCGCCCATCTTCATCTTCGGGTACAGTCAGAAGGCTTTTCGCACATGCGTGTCCCTCTTCCCAGCGCTCAGTAATTCCCAAGCTGTGCAGTTTGTTCGCCACAAATATCCGGTCATTATTAACTATCCGAGAGTTGAGACCAGCACTCTCGCTGTCGAGAATCTTGAGGATCTCATCATGCTTATCTTGTTTTTCAAAGATTTTGATGAGCAACAAAAGTTCCTCGGCATTTTGAATAGCTCTTGGGGGGCTCAGTAGCTCGGTCTGTAGGAAATAATTTCATGCTCGGTCAGTCACTGGTCAATGTTAAGGCCAGGCGTCAGGTTCCTTTGGCCGAAGATTCCATAGTAGTGACCACATACCGGATTGGTGGGAACTTCGGCTACCGCCTTCGAAATCATACGATATGCCAAAGTCCCAAACAACTTACGGTCCATGTCCGAGGAGGCCGAGTCAATTGAAACAATATGACAAAAGAAGATGGCCCAGAAATAGTACTTTCGCTCGCGGGGAAAGTTCTTTTGGAGACTCATGGCGGCCTGTTTGTGTCAGCTACCCATAGAAATGCGGTGTTTGTGTACCATGTTACCTTCTGTGCAGATTTCCAGTCACGGCCCTCAAATCCGTCCGTAAACCATCTCATCTGAAGGTCGTGATCCTGCGGTTTTGCCTTGGCTGCTCTTTCCCACAATGCGCTCCGAAGGTCGGTCTGGTCATCCATCTTTTGCAGGGTTCGGCGAAGTGTGTCCAGGGTATCCAGATCGGTGACTGGTGGCTCAGATTTACACAGCTCGAGAGTCTCGGCAATTCCTCGCTTCTTATGGGCTTCGTCCGTGTGATTGAAGAGGACGTTCGCTTTCCAGGCCTGTTTCCGTCGAGTTCATGTGTTAATGAGACCAACATGCTCGGCCGCAAGTAGAATTCGGGAGCTGGTGAGGGTAGCCTTACCTTCAGAAAAGGTGTGTTCTCGCCTTTCTTCATGCGCTTTTCAATCAGCTGCAAGGCCTGCTTCATGTTCTGGCTGTCAATGGCATCTTGTATCTGGTTGTTGCGGCGCAAGAAGACCGCATCATTGCCGGAGCTCATGGTGGAGGGTTGGCTCAATTTGAACTTTCAAACTCGAATCCAGGTAGGTAAACTTATTTTTGATCCGCCGTGCTAGGCACAGCACGCGCCGAAGGTTTTCGAGGAGCTGGTTTGCAATAGGGACTGATCGAATGCCGCATTTTTATTTGGCGGGGAAGGATGTCAAGAGGAAGGCGGTATGCGCCTCCCCGCACTATACTGCCGGCAGTAAACCCAACATGCAAACGATGTCTCCTGGTGACGTATGAACCAAGTATAGTTGCCCGGCGCAAGCTTGATCAGTAATCGTAATTATATCAGGGCCAGGGATATGTACCTGGATTGGTGGCATGCAGGTATAAATTGCGTATACATGAAAGAAAAAGTATGTCTTTCCTCGGGGGTATACACATATATATTAGATGCAATCGACAAGCCTCAGACACGATGAGGATAGATTTTGCGAACGAAGAGGCCACATCACTCCAACACGATAGATAAGATCTCAAGACAAAGATGCTAATATATAAACTTAAATCAAAGGGCTGATACGCCAAGAAGAACATAACACAAAAAGCAGGAAACAAAAATGCGAAACATAGGACCCGTTAATCTTGCAAATCGCCAACTGGAGTTTCTTCACCTGTCGGAAGATCTCAATTTTTGTCGGCGTTTCATGTCTTATCTGGACGAAAGACCGGAAACCTTCTTCTGGGTTAACTATTTTGGCCCCATTAGCAATCGAAGACACAACGTGCTGAATCACGGCCAAAGGGGCCCGCGGATCGCGGATACCACACAAGACATGAGACTGAGACGGTACAAAGTAACTCTTCACTCGACTTACCCAGTTCTTTTTGCAGTCGCGATATGCTCTAGGCAAGTAAAGCAGTTAGTATAAAGCCTTGGAGCTGGGATGTCTGACGACCATAGAGCCCGAGTTAACCATGAGCAGATCAATCACCGGAAGCCGATTTGAGCATCATACACGAGAGACCAGATGCAATAAAGGGTCATGAACATACTGGAAGTAATCATGGCACATCTCGCGATCAAAGCCATTCCGCTTCATGCACTTAAGGCTCCGATCCGCGAAGTCCTGGCATGGATCGTAATATTGGCTGGCATGTTTGCTATGACATGTTAGCTATCAGTTGTGTAGGTTTATACATATAATCTCGATTGATATGCTTAGGCCAGACCGATGTTTCCGTGTAGGGTCCAAAGAGAGGCTCCTCAGGGAACTCGCCTCCACGGATAACTATGGAAACGCGATCACACCTCGCGAGAATCAAAGATCAGTGGATCGAGACAATGAAGAAACATCAAAACATACTGTGCAAACTTCTTCTCAGCTTTCTCCCACGCCTTGTCGTGCGTGTCACCTTGTGTTGAGTCGGCCATGAGTACGGCGCTTTTGTATGTCTTTTGTATTGGTAATAGATGATCAAGGCAATAGACCCTAATCAAGGGCAAATACCAAAGTGTTGGTTGGAACTGAGTTGAAGGTTAGCTTGATTGGAGAAGAAGTTAGCGCTGAGCGTAGGAAGAGTTGGGGATCCGCGGTCTTGGCGCGGGCATAGGCCGTAACGGGTTTGCGATCACTACTGGGATTCTTATGTTTCTATAAACATTCTTTTCTTTGATATTTGCATACTAATTATTAGTCAATTTGCCAGTAGGTCATAATTTAATTTGCAAATAATGGGCAAAATGGTGTATCAAAAATCATCCGAAAATGCAGTAGTGTGTCACAAGGATATGCATAAGTGCAGTTTGCACGACTCATGTCAGTACTTATGCAAGTACTCGAATTGATAGGCCTAATTGGAATCTCAAGCTGACAGAAAGAGAGGGTAGTGTACTTGAAGCCTCATGGATGTGAAGTATAAAGAATGCGGGTATAAAGATAAGGACGGGGACGTCATCCAACGCTGTGAGCCTAGGATAGGATTAATTGAAAACCGGTATAGAATGGACAGTATGAGATTGAACGTGTCCGCTTTTGGGTCAGTAGCGAGGCAGAGGAAGCAGAGAGAGATCAGTCGCAAAACTACGACAGCCATATCGTGATAACTACACTGATACTATTCCTTGGTGTGCCTTGCCATGATTTCCGACTATGCGGACAGAGTTGGGGGCGAGACTGCTCTCGGTAACGGGAATGGTGAGGTTATAGAAGTCTGTGGACCGCAAATGGTGCCAACAGCATCTACAACGTTCAAGACTTCCACCTGCGCACAGGGACCAGCCGTGATTCTGCAGGGTCGGTACATCTAACACCAAGGGCTCCAGCTACTAAGGACAATAACGTCACTACTCGGTGATTTGTATCATCAACTTGCCGAGTATCACTTCATGTTGCTTCAGGACCGGCTCCATGATGCAAACCGATTGATGCGGGACCAGAAGCAAGCAAGGCATCAGTTCGATAAGACTTGCCTCAAAAGAATTTATTTGTTGAGCAGATTGGATCCCTGAAACATATGAACGAGGAGATTGTTGACGATGACAATGTCCAAGGGTGTCTTCGACAACAGCCATCTTTTCGTGACGAAGAGCAAGCTCGTACTTCTGTGGAGCATTCTGGAGAGCAAAAGAATGACCTGTTGGCTTGTAAGGAAACGGAAGGCTAAGTGGAGCCCATAGGATAGTAGGCTATATTCCGACTTTGATACACAAAGGCACACATAGGGCACCCAGAGTTCGCCCCTTACTCGAGGAGTGAACAATCATAAATAGCACAAAGAGGTGATCAATGTGACAAGTCAAGCGAAGTTGTTTGCTAAGGGTTCCTGATTATGTGAGCGGTGCCTGAGGCCAAAGCGAAGTGTCTACCCTGGCTTCCTCACTTCTGAATCCGAATCACATTGCCTTATTTTCTTTTCTTTTCTTTTCTCTTCATCCGAAGCCCAGATCTCACTATTAGCGCAATCTTTATATCTCTTTAGCCTCTGCGCAAGCTTCTGGACCTGCTTTGCCACACGAAACTTTTCCTCTCGACCCCACCGCATCGTGTCGCAAATCGCGCCGTCACTCCACCGACACGCCGAACGCGCCTGGTTGATGATAAAGCTGCTCTTGCGGTGATACCAGCTCCTGACAAGCTTCGGAAGGGAAAATGTCAACTAAATGCTGTTCTGCGGCCGAAACATCCGGAGTAAGTCAAGTGCCGCAATTACACAACGTGACTGAAACTGACGCGCGCTTTTTAGCTAGCCAATACTCTCCAAGGACATGTGGACGACATTCGCACTCTGATACAGTGCGGTATTTGCATTCGACCTCTCTACGAACCTTTCACTCTTGCGTGTGGACACACTTTCTGCTATTCCGTGAGTTGGTCGCTATCAATTTGATTCCCGTTCCTCGATCTAACTCGGATCTTTACAGTGTCTATCGTCATGGTTCTCAGGAGGGAGATCAAAACGAACATGTCCCGATTGTCGAGCACCCGTCAAATCCCAACCGGCACCAGCGTATCTGGTAAGTACAACACAAACCTTAATCTAGTTCATTACATCTAACAATTCTGGTGTTTTAAAGGTCCGGGCGGTCGTGCAGATGTTCACAGCTCGCGCTGAGCTTCTAGACAAGGGCGAAACGACCATGGAGCATACGAAAAACCGACAAGAGGAAGCTGGGAAACTTGACCAAGACAAGTCGAATAACCATCCAACACAAGGAGGTCTATTCGGCGGACTTTTCAGACCCAAAGCCCCCCTCTAAAGCCCGTCATTGACATTGATGATGGGGTTATGCGATGTCCGTATTGTTCATGGGAACTCGAGGAAGGAGAGCATTGTGCTGGCTGTGGCTATCGATATCGCCCTGGGTCCGAAACAGACGAGACCGAATCAAGTGATGAGAGTGAAAGTGGTAGCGACCTCGATTCACTAGATGAGATGGACGACGAAGAGCCCGAGGAGCCCGAGGACGATTTTGGAGACGTTGATGATGGCTTGTGGGGCGAGTTCGCAAGTCGATATCCTACCAATGGTCCCACCTTTGGGATGCCCCCTTTGCCAGGCTTTATGGGTAGCTACCAGACGATGGCTCGCCTAGGGTATCATGGATCCGCAATGCCACCTGAACTCGTTTCACGATTCACTGGAAACTACGGCCAGGACGAGTTTGATTTTGAAGAAGACATCGAGGATGAGAACGAGTACGATCATGAAGACTCTTTCATTAATGATGGAACCCAGCTTACGGGTGACGACTACGAATCGGACTCGGATCATTCTACTGTTGTAAGCAGTTCCCAGCCCAATGGCCCTCCCAGACCGAATGTATCCCGTCATCAAACACCACCACGAATTGATACAGATACGGATGGTGAAGATGACTCCGAGGAAGATTCGGAGGAGGTAAGTGATTCAGACTCATCCGATGAAGATGATATCCGGGCTGCGCCTCCTCGACAGGCGTTTGGCAACGCACCTCGGCCTGTCTGGCGAGAGCCCGGCACCTCTCCATGGGCGCAAAGGATAGAAGACCTTCCTACTTCTTCTGCCGAGACTGTTGAATCCAGCGAGGCATCCGAAGGCTCGGAAGCTGCGAGCTCATCGCCTCATCGTCCTCCAGCAACCACAAGACCTAATACTGGTCGTGGGCTCTCCGCTCGCAATGCGATTGCCCTTGATGATTCCGACGACGATCAACCTGTTGGCCCAGTGAGAAGAAATACTCACAGACGGCGCAACAGATACTCCCCATACTAAGACACATTTTTGAACACAACATCTACCATCACCCTATGCCGCCTACTTCTTGTTCTTCAGCATGGCGTTTAGGGAATAGGTAGAAAGCATGCTTGGCGCTTTGTTTGCATTTTTTCTATGCTTTGATATCCAAAAGGGTTCTGTCATCTTTGGTGGTTTTCAGCGACTAGGAGTTAGATCTTCATGTCCCCCCTCTCATCCTTCTTACCTCGGTCCTATCCGTCTTTAACGTATGCCCCAGTTGCTTCTTTCTCGGCCCGAATGACCCTTTGTCGCCTCTTACCACCAAGAACAGACACCAAACCTAATATTTGATAAACAGCTGTTGAACTTCCAAAGGATGCTACTTCATAATATCGAATCCAAATATTTCTTACGGCATCTCTTTTCAACAAGAGAGACTGGTTTAGCTTGTCATGGAGTTTTCAGTATTGTAGAGCGCCATGGAGCTGGTGGCGTCCAACCAAACGTAATTTGAGCAACCACCCCTAACTAAATGTGCCTGTATTACAATAATGGCGATGTCTCACAACAATGAGATCAATTTCCTATTTTACTTCAAACATCTGGAAGAGAGCCTTCCTCCTGTATGCTACCAAACCGTCTTTGCCACAAGTTATAGTATCTTCCGTCCATATCTAGCAGTTCCTGATGAGTTCCCCTCTCGACTATTGTTCCCTCATGTAGCACTAGTCTGGTTCGCTCTAACAACTGTGGACAATCGATGAGCGATAATGCCCAGGGACCTTAGGGGACCAAAACAGGTTAAAGTATGTTTGAGAGTAAACACAATAATATACGTGATCTCCCTCATCTGCTGTATAACAAGGGTCATCACTACCCATGAAGTATTCGTACGGCCTCTACACAGTTGAGCTGCGGCCATTCCGACGTCTTCCATGAGCGTTTTTGAACCTCGAAAGAATGCTAACTGGTACCTACGCATATACTGATGGCTTATGACAGGTCCTCGTTTACATCGAATATGCTTGCAATAGGGATATGATTGAATACCCAATGCACCAAAAAAATCCGGTACATATGCAAAAATGGTAGAAATACATACACAGATCTGACTCCAAAGACACCGAACCCCGAGCAACGCTCCTCATTTTATCCTCGACTGGTGAGCAAGGCCGAGACAGAACAATTATGAACAAGATTTATACATCAGCCCTCACGGTTTCATTAGTGGTAAGCGGAACCTCGAACACGACAGCTCCGTTACGGCCCTCAGCAGTAGTGCCTTCGTAGTAGTTGTTGGCAAAGCACTTCCAGCGAGCCAAGCGGTGCTCCTTGCCGACAGCAGCAACGATTGATACACCGCGAGGTTCGTTTTGGGTCTCTGACTTGGATTTTGATTCACCAGGAAGATCGGATTCGGGACGACGTTCAAAGACCGCAATGCCGTTGATGACACCCTTGATCATAGGCTCCGGTTCTTGGGTTTCGGGTTGAGGCTTCTCATCTTCAACCATGCGGTCTGGGGTAGCGTCGAAAGCAAGGGTCTGGTTGAGTTGTTGCGAAGGTGTGTCAGGCGTCGCGCTGCCAAGGGAGCCCTGGCCGATGGGGCCTAGAGGAATAATAGTCCTTTTATCATCCGAGATGCGCCATGCCCGAATCCAACCATCCCAGCTGCCGCTGAGTACAATGTCGGTACCGGGGAGCGTGGTTAGGGCGGTAATCCAGCGAGGCATGGGGCGCATGTGCCGCATGTTGTGGGCGGCAGTCTCTTCGTTGACTTCGGGTGATAATTCTTCCAGAGGTGGGATTGGGTCCAGGCCGTGGGCAAGACGGATGGTGAAGAGCGGCTTCTTCTTGTGTACGGACCAGAGACAGATAGAGCCAGAGTCTGAACCGGTGACAAAGTGGGTTGGTGGTAGAGGAGCAATACAATCAATGTTGCTCTCGTGGTAAGGGGCACTTTTCGCGGCACCACCACGGAACACTAGCTGCGTTTCGTCGACAACCTTCCACAAACGGGCTGTGCGGTCACGAGCACCAACACTAACACATTCGTCGATGGTCATGGCGGCAACTCCAGTAACATGGTCCTGGTGACCGAAGAGTGTTTCGACATAGGCGTGGCCAGCTCCGCTAATGGACCATGTCTTAATAGTACGATCGTAAGAACCGGAGAATAGCTGCTCTCCAGAACTCATCGTTGAGATATGGCGCGCAAAGGACAATGAGCAAACAGAGTCTCTGTGTTGTAGGAACGTCTTGGTGGGCGTCAAAGTTTCCGCATCCCAGATGATCAGTTTGTTGTCTGCTCCACCAGTGGCCACAAACCGTCCAGAGGGGGACACGGCAACGGATAAGATGTTTCCTGTATGTCCATGCTCCTCGCCGGTTTCAGGGTTCTTGCGCATACCCCGAGCATATCTGACACGCTTAGGCTTCTTGCGCTGGGGACGTGGAGGCCGCTTGGAAGTATCAGCATCACCGTTCGATGCGGTAGAGGCGGGTACACTCGGTGTAACCAACTCCCACTTGGTCAATGTCTTATCCTTTGACACAGCGTAGACATATGGCGGGTGAACAGCAATAGCAGTTGTCGATTGGGTATCTGAGCGGAAAAACGAATGGGGTGCGGTAGGGAAGGATAGTTTCGCAGCGATTTGACGGAACGTCCGTCCTTTGAACTCATCAACGTCCTTCTTCAGTCGTTCCGCGATCAAGTCTCGATCAATGTCTGCCGCATCAAATCCGGCTTCGTCAACCTCGTCTTTAATGTTTTCCAGGTAGCGTTCAGCGAGTTTCAATCTTCGATCTCCCGCCGTTTCGCCGTCTTCTGAATCTGATCCGCTCTCGTCGCCTGATTCCGATGCAATTTCGTCCTCGTCGATATCACTACCAGAGATCGATTCTTCTCTCTCTCTGGCCCGACGACCGGCGCCGTCGGTTTTGGCATCTCCGCCTCGCTTCTTTGATCCTGGGACTGAGGCGCGGTCGTCTCTCTTCCGCTTGCGCTGGGCAGCAGGGACAGTGAAAAAGGAAGACATAACGACCTTGTGTCAAGCCAGGTTATCACTTCCTAATTTCCGTAGAGAACAAAAAGAAATTGAAGGAATGGCGTTCTCGAAAGTCTCGGGCTGCGGAGATCAAAACTTCAACTTTTTTTGGCAGAAAAAAAGCGCTAAGCGGCGGCTGAGTCAGCAGTAGCTGACCCCGGGAGCTCCAGGCGTCAAGCTCACCGCGCGGTCCTCCTCACTTGACCACTTCTCTCCTTCGTCTTCAATCATCTACTTGCTTGTTTCTTTTTTTTTTTTTTTTTTGATTATCACTTACCGCAAACATGTGAGATTATCGCTAATTATTCCTGCTATTTCACAAATGGTTACTGACTGCTGCTAGGGAGGTTCTCTTGGGTATCGCCGGCAAGGACTTCGTCATTCTTGCAGCATCCAAGGCCGCAATGAGAGGCCCGACAGTTCTCAAGGCCGAAGATGATAAGACACGACAGCTGAACAAGAACACACTCATGGCCTTCTCTGGAGAGTCTGGAGATACTGGTATGCCACTCTTACGACGGCCCCAATGAGATAAACATGCTAATGAGATGGGTCGTTATAGTTCAATTTGCCGAATATATCCAAGCCAACGCTGCGCTTTACAGCATGCGTAATGACACCGAACTCAGCCCCTCCGCCGTTGCCAATTTCGTTCGAGGAGAATTGGCGCGCAGTCTGCGGTCACGGAGTCCTTACACCGTCAACCTCCTGCTCGGTGGCATAGATCCGGTCACTGAGGCGCCCCATCTCTACTGGATTGACTACCTTGCGTCATTGGCACCCCTACCATATGCTGCCCACGGCTATGCCCAGTATGTTGAAACCGAGCTTTGGGACGATGTGTCAATGCTAACTTGAATAGATACTACTGCCTATCCATCCTTGACAAACACCACAATCCTAACATCAATCTTGACGAGGGACTCAAGCTCCTCACTTTGTGCACAGATGAGCTGAAGCGCAGACTACCTATTGACTACAAGGGAGTAAGTAAAATGCGACCTTTTCCGCATGCCAACGTACTGACTCTCTCTACAGGTCTTGGTGAAAGTGGTGACGAAGGACGGTGTGAGGGAAATAGACGTTGATAACGATAAGGTGGTCAAGAGTGCTTAAAGGTCGACATGAGGCGTTTGTTGAATCACATCCTATGACGTTTTCTTTCGTTACGGCTTCATCTTGAGATGGTATGACTTAGGCTGTAAGAAATGAGTGGATTTCTAAATGGTCTTGACAATTAAAAGATCAGTTTAACAAAGACCGCATCTTTTGAAAGAGTACAATAAACAGTGACTGGTGTAGTGTATTCTTAGGGAGCTTCCTTTGATCTCGTCTCGTGTTGGTTTGACTTGTTTGCATCAAAATCGCATTCCGTCCGTAAGAACTGCGCGATCAACCATTCACTACAACCATATCGCAATGTCGAAAAGGCACGCAGAGCTCCCTTTGGAACAAGACTTTTCGGGCTCGCCCGCCTCGAAAAAGGCCCGTGTCGAGGACAAGTCCGAGGGTGATTCTCCGAATGGCGCAGGACTCTCCAGCGGCAAGCTGGAACAGGATGGTCGCAATGGGGCGGATATCGAAGGAGCAGCCGAAATAGAGAGAGAGGAGCTGGAGGAAGGTGAGAAGGATCCTTCAGGTCTCTCGGATATCGATGAAGATGCGCCTGCGCTTAGTGCTCCAAAGCGACAAAGCGCTCCCATGGAAGGCTACGGCGACCTCTACCTGGACACGATCAACCGGGAGATTCTCGATTTCGATTTCGAGAAGCTGTGCTCCGTCAGTCTGTCGAATATTAATGTGTACGCCTGTCTCGTCTGCGGCAAATACTTCCAAGGTCGCGGTCCCAAATCACACGCATATTTCCATGCACTCGAAGTCGGACACCACGTCTTTATCAATATCGGTACAAGGAAGGTCTACGTTCTGCCAGAGGGATATGAGGTCAAAAACAAGAGTTTGGACGACATCAAATACGTGGTGGAT